ATGTTGTGAAACAAGCTCTTGCTGCATGGGGAGACTCTTCCAGTGAATCTGAAGAAGATGATGATCAAAGTGACAGCTCCATGATGGCACTGGAAAGTGAAGCAGCTGAGTATGACTCTATCTTTGCCTTGATGGCACAGTCTGATAATGATGAAGATGACGATGATGATGATAAGGTAAACTTTCTAGATGGTCAAAGAAATCTAAAGTCTTATTCTCTTAAAAAAAACTCATGTCCTTGGCAAATGTTTTAATTGATGCTTATCACAATCTTATAAATGATAAAAATGCATTAACTGTAGAACTAAGAGACATATAACATGAGAGAAATGATCTAGTGGTTGTTGTGGTTGATCTAAAAGAGACTATTGAGTGTGTTAAAAAGAGAAAGAAGCTTTAATTGAAAAGGTTGCTAACATAGAGCATGAGAGAGACGACCTATTAGTAGTAGTTGTTGATCTGAAGGATACAATTGAGGAACTAAAAGGAGAAGGTAGGCATGAGATTCTTCAGAAGGGAAAGGAAGTTTCGGATGAAACACATCTTAGGCTTGAAGACGTGATAAAATCAGTGAAATCTAGCTTGTGTGTTGAACTCGAGAATAACAAACAACTTCAGGAAGAACTAGGTAGAGTCAAGAGTGATCTTGAAAAATCACTCTCAAGTAGACCTGGTCCTCTGAAACTATCATTGCCATGTACACGAACAATGGGGGAAACATGCAGGGAATCGGGTTTCAAAGAGAAAAAACTCCCTACAACCCTCATAGCAAGTACGTTACTGTACCTGACAACTGGCTCTGCACTCACTGTGGTAATACTGGGCACTTTAAGGAAACCTGTAAGGCCAAGTTTCAGTCTCAACAGAAAAATAAAGTTTTTGCTAAAAAGGTAATTACTGTTAGCGAACCTGGTCCCTCATATAAAAGACGCATGATGCCTTCTTAGACCAATGTAACCCTCATTCATCCCTTTCCTCATTACAAGGGACCCAAACTTGTTTGGGTTCCTAAGTCTAACCTTTAATTTCCTTGTGCGGGGAACAGTGAAGGGGAGCAACCAACAATGGTACATGGATAGTGGTTGCTCAAAACACATGACTGGAAGTACAAACGATTTCCTTTCATTGAAGGCCCTACAATGAGGGAGTGTATCCTTTGAAGATGGCAGGAAGAGATATATTCTGGGAGTTGGAAGGATTGGGGAAGTCTCTCTCTCACTCTATTAAAAATGTGTACTATGTGAATGGAGTGAAGTACATCTTGCTGAGTGTTTCCCAAATCTGTGACAAGGGAAACAAAGTGGAATTTGTATCAAAGATATGCACAGTTGTTCCCCATTTACTTCTCAAATTGTACTTTACAGTTGTTGTGTGAATTGCCGGGGTAATTGGTTTGGATCCAGTGAGGTTTTGGAATGAATTGGAATACTTAGTTCCAAGGTTTAAAGCTTAAGTTAAAATAGTGATCGGATGTCGACTTATGTGTAAATGACCTTGGAATTTAATTATGATGATTCCAATAGCTCCGTATGATAATTTTGGACTTAGGAGCGTGTTCGGAAAATTATTTGGAGGTTCGTAGTGGAATTAGGCTTGAAATGTCGAAAGTTAAATTTTTGGGGAAGTTTGACCGGGGGTTGACTTTTTGATATCGAGGTCAGAATCCAGTTTTGAAAATTTTTATAGCTCTGTTATATCGTTTATGACTTGTGTGCAAAATTTGAGATCAATCAGACGTGAATTGTTAGGTTCCGGAGTCGTTTGTAGAAACTAGAAATTTCAAAGTTCATTAGGCTTGAATTGGGGTGTAATTCATGGTTTTAGCATTGTTTGAGGTGATTTGAGGGTTCGACTAAGTTCGTATGATGTTTTAGGACTTGTTGGTATATTTGGTTGAGGTCCTGAGGGGTTCGGGTGAGTTTTGGATGGTTAACGGATTATATTTGGCCTTGATGAGATTGCTGATATCTATTGCTGCATTTTTTCGGATTTTCTCTTTTGCGTTCGCGAGGGGACCCTCGCGTTCGCGAAGAGGAATTTCAGGCAGGCAGGATTTACTCTTCGCGTTTGCGAGGGGGTCTCGCGTTTGCGAAGATGAGCTGGGTTGTGCATCGCGTTCGCATTTGGGATATCGCGTTTGCGAAGGAAACATAGTAGGCATGGGTTTTTGCCTTCGCGTTCGCGAAGGGGAGCTCGCGTTTGCGAAGAAGGGCTCCGTAAAGCATCGAGTTCATGAACAGTGTCTCGCGTTCGCGAAGAACAAATGTTGGGAAGCACATTTTATGCTTCGCGAACGCGAGGGACCTGTCGCGTTCGCGAAGAAGAGAGGTCTGGATAGAAAGTTTAAGTTCAAAAATTTTCCATTTTTAACGATTTGGAGCTCGGATTGAGGCGATTTTTGGGAGATTTTCAGAAAAAACAAAGGGGTAAGTGTTCTTAACTCAATATTGGTTAAATTACCCCAATCCATGGTTATTTTTAATATTTAATTGGTGAATTAAGTTGGAAAATTGTGAAAACCCTCTTGGTTTAATTTGGAGATCTGAGGGTCGAGTTGATGTCAGATTTGAGTAAAATTTATATGGTTGAACTCGTGGTTGAATGAGCATTAATATTTTGTAACTTTCGTCGGATTCCGAGATGTGGGTCACACGGGTGATTTTTGGGACGTAATATCGTATTTTGTGAAAATATTAGTATTTTGATATGGAATTAATTACTATAAATTTTGTGGGCTGAATCAAATTAATTGTGACTAGATTCGAGTCGTTTGGAAGTTGATACACACATAGTGGAATTGCTGGAGCATTGCTTAGCTTGCTCGACATTGGATTTGACTTGTTCGAGGTAAGTAACTCTTCTAATCTTGGAGTTGAGAGTATGAACCCTGAATATATGTATTTCGTAAATTGTTGGGAGGTGACGCACATGCTAGGTAACGGGTGTGTAGGCGTGCACTATAGAAATTGTGACATAATTGTTTCTGTAGAATTTTGTAGTTAAATGATCTTGGCATTTCCATGTGATTTTATGAGTTAAAGAAATTGAGCTGAAAAGCATATTAAAAAATCATGTTGAGGCTATGTGCTAGTATTATTGGGATCCACAGAGGTCATATTATTGTGAAATATTTATTTTAAATTAAAAATTCATACTCAGCCATATTCATTTCATTGCATATCATATCTCAGTCTCTGTAGTTATTTATTGATACATCATATCATCATTTTTGGGCTATTCTCATGACATTGTGAGCCTATGAGAGAGAGAGATTGGAGAGATTGATGAGTGGGGGAGACCGAGGGCCTGATTATGAGGATATTTTTGGGATGGGGTTGCACGCAGCAGTAGGTAATATTGGCTTTATATATATTATTACTATTATATGAATCGGGGCTGCCCCCCTGCAGCAGCCCTTATTGGCTTATTATTGTACTTGAGTTGGCCGTGCAGAACGTGTGTTGGCCGTGCAGATCCTTATATTATTATTGCACGTGAGTTGGTCGTGCAGCACGTGAGTTGGCTGTACGGATCCTTATATTATTATTGCACGTGAGTTGTTCGTGCAACACGTGAGTTGGCCGTGCGGATCCAGATATTTATATTATAGCACGTGAGTTGTCCGTGCAACACTTGAGTTGTCCGTGCTTATAGCGCTTGGGTTGTAGGAGCCCCTCATGAGTCTGTACACACCCCCAGTGAGCGCAGTCGACAATAAACAGGGATCGGGCTACACGTCGCAGCATGTATTGTATAGCGCTGAGTGATTGAGTGTGCTGAGCATAGTGAGAGAGAATGCGAGACAGTGAGATTGAGTACTCTGAGAGTGTGACTACATGAGTACAATCTCTGAGATACATTGCATTGACATGCACACATGACATATATGCATAGAGATATATTTTTCTCATGCTGTACGATATCACATTATTCATGATTTCTCACACATGTTGACAGATGTGCATAATGATGCATTTGTTTTATACGGGTTATCTCGAAAGAAAATAAAACATATCATTTATTATTGAAAGGATTTTGGAAAAATTATTGCTTTCAAACTTATTCATATTTTTGGAAATTTCGGTAAACGATTTGGGTTTTTCATTGATGTACTTGAAAGGAAGAACTATATTTTTTGAAATCATGATTTGGCTGAGTATTTTATCTCTGAGTTACTTCTGGTATTATTTGCTTTATGTTGTTATGGACTGTTGTGGACTAGTGATTTTGGACCCGACCTTGGTAGAAGCTCGTCACTACTTTCAACCTACGACTAGGTTTGTTACTTACTCAGTACATGGGGTCGGTTATACTGATACTACACTTCTGCACATTGCGTACAAATGTTGGCTATTGTTGTTGTTATGCTCGATGGTTGCGGGACTTGAAGATGTACCTGTGTTCCTGTTATAGCTGCCTCTTGTTCAGGGTAGCCTTAGATTTATAAAAGCTCTATTTATGTATTATTCAAACAGACTATGTATTTATTTCATTTCCGCTTTGTATACTCTATTCTTAGATGCTCATGATTTGTATTACCAGTTCTTGGGGAGATGTATTAGTTTTAGATATTTTCTTTTAATTAATTTCATTGGAATTGTATAGATTGGAATTGGCTTACCTAACGGGTTGGGTTAGGTGCCATCACGACTAGTGGGATTTTGGGTCGTGACAAAATGGCTTTCTAAAATAATAAGTCTTTGTCAAGCAACCTCCTAGATTTGAGAATCATGAGCATCTTAAACATGTTTTCAAACTTGACAAGGCACTATATGGGCTAAAGCAGGCTCCTCGTGCTTGGTATGAAAGGTTGTCCAAATTTCTTCTAGAAAATGGCTTTTCAAGAGGAAAAATTGACAACACCTTTTTTCTTGAAGAGACGAGGAAGGAACCTGCTCATTGTGCAAGTCTATGTTGATAACATCAACTTCGGAGCAACAAACGATTCATTGTATGAGGAATTTACAAAACTCATGGGAAGTGAGTTCAAAATGAGCATGATGGGGGAATTGAATTTGTTCTTGGGTCTACAAGTCAAGCAAACTCCTCGGGGCACAATGATAAGTCAGCAAAAGTACATCAAAGAGCTTCTGAAGAGATTTGAGATGGAGAGCTCAAAGATCATTGATACACCTATTGCCACTGCCACTCGTCTGGATATGGATGAACATGGTTCTCCTGTAAACGAGACTATGTATAGAGGCATTATTGGGTCACTTCTGTATCTCATAGCAAGTAGACCAGACATTGTTTTCAGTGTGGGACTCTGTGCCAGGTTTCAATCCAATCCAAAGGAGTCTCATCCGAAGACTGCAAAGAGAATTCTGAGGTATCTCAAAGGAACGCAGGACCTGGTTCTCTACTATCCCTCAGGAGATAACTTTGACTTGATAGGGTATGCTGATGCTGACTATGCTGGTTATCTGGTAGATAGGAAAAGCACTTCTGGTATGGCACATTTTCTGGGTTCGTGTCTAATCTCATGGGGCACAAGAAAACAAAACTCAATGGACCTTTCAACTGCTGAAGCTGAGTAAGTGGCAGTTGCCTCTTGCTGTGCTCAACTACTGTGGATCAAGCAACAGCTAGAATATTTCGGTGTGTTTTCTGATTGTGTGCCCTTACCGTGTGACAATACCAGTACACTCAACATGTCCAAGAATCCAATTCAACATAAGAGAACAAAGCACATTGATATGCGACACCATTTTCTCAAAGACAATATTGAAAAGGGGATCATCTATATGAAATTTTGCACCACAGAAGATCAAATTGCAGACATATTCACCAAAGCACTTAGCAGAGAACACTTTGAAAGGAATCGCTTGGCGCTAGGGTTGATAAAACCAAGTTGAGAACCTGGTCCCTCGATGATTGGCTATGAAAGAAATGTACAGGTAAATTAGCTAAAAGTGTTTTCTGACAAAGTCTAACTCATTTCTATACCGTTACAGGTAGACATGCATGATGATTCTAGAGCAAACACGCAGCTAACGCATTGCACGTTAGCCAAAGGATGAGGCTTACATTTGCAAAATTTGTCAGGGAACCTGGTTCCCCAGACACAAGTTAGTAATTTCTTTGTACTCTCATGCACAATTTTTAAACGATTGAAACGGTGCCACATCATTACACTATCAATTTCTTTTCTTTCCTGATTTGTGAACCCAAACATCTCACCCGTAGGCCGTAATGAAGCGACCCGACTACCCAAATTGCCACATATTCCTAACTGATCCCTCACCCCTCTTAAATACATCTATTTACACCCACTTTCACCACTGTTCACATCAAAAATCCAAAAATCCTCTTTTCTTTCTTCAAACCAAATTATCTCTTCTTCAACTCACTACACTCTACCATGTCTGAACACCAGGAAACACAAGATGTTCTAAGTGTCGTCCCCACTGTGTCCTCATATGTTAAAACGTTAGTGATAGAACCTACACCCTCCACCCCGAACAGTCCAAACCCTAAGGCAGAGTCACAACCACCCTCTGCTTCCTCCCCAACCCAATCGAGTACTGATTCTCATCGGAGTCGCAAAACTTTGACTCCCAAGAAGTTTGTGGTTGTGACCTCTCCTTCTGCCTTGCCGGAAAAAAATAGTTGAAGAAGATACAGTAGAAGAAGAAGATAATCAAGAATTTTTCAGTCTACCAATGGACGAAAGCTCTGGCAAAGACCAAGATGTTTGTCATACTCATGATGAATCGACAATGACAGCCCCTGACCTTGAGTCTACAGGTAATACTCCTCCTACCTATGGATTTACCATGGGGTTACAAGAATAAGAGCCCATAGAAAATATGTTGTCAATAGCTGTTGAGGGATGTTGAGGTTGGTAAAGGTGTGTCTAAGTCTCAGGGGGAAGAAAATAGTACACTAGTGGGGAATAGGGAACTGGTTCCAGTTGAAACATTTGCACCGGACAATACTACTGGGGTACCAACTGAGGGACCTCATCCCTCTACCCAAGAGGAGCCAAGCCATGGCTCCTATCAAGCACCCCAGGTCAGTACTGATCTTGCTCCCTCTCTTCACTTCTACGATGTGCCTTTGTCCATGATCGTTCCAGAAATGAGATCCTTATCGACTGAGGATAGTGAAGATGATTATGATAATGTGGTTATTGCTAGTTTTATCAGGGCTATGAGTAGACATGCCACTACTCAAGTGTTAACTCCTAAGAGACCTACCACTAGGTTGCAAAAGAAGGAGGCTCTTGAGTCTGTTATTAAGAAAAGCCAAGAACAATAAAACAGGAGAAGATTGGTAAATGATGAGAAGATTGTGAATGAGAAAGTAGTGCATGTTGTCAATGTTGATGATGAAGTAGATGAGGAACCCGGTTCCTTAACTCGCAAGTTCTCATAGAAGCACAATATCCCCAAGTCAAAAAGGAAGTCCTCTGTGAGTACGAAGAGCTTGAACAAAGTTGAAGGTGACAAATCTGGTGAAAAGGTAGTTGAGGAATCTGGAGAACAAGTGACAGAAGAATAAATTGAAAAAATGTGTGCGAAAAGGGTGTCTGAGAAATTTACTGAGAAAGGAAAGAGTGCTCGTACATCAGTAAAAAGGAAGGCGATGCCAGTGAGGAACCTGGTTCCTCCAAATAAGACCAAGGTTGATGATACCCAGGATGCTGGCAAGGAACAATTGAAAAATCAAAAGGTGTTGTGGGGCCGTACATTTGCCCATGATATTCTGGATATGGCTGGCATGCGCCAATTGGTGGAAATTTGTGAATTGCAACAGTGGACACACCTGTTTACGAGTGACAGTCCCACAGTTTTTGAGGACGAAGTGCGCATTTTTTATGCTGACCTCTTTACAGTTGAGGATGATCATATTTGTATGATGGTGAACGGTGTTGATTTTGTAATGGACTATGCTGTGCTGTGAACTATTTTGGGAGTGCCTGCTGAGGGTTTGTATTTTGATCAGGGCACTTGCTCTTCAAACTTTAGAAATGCTATCTTGAAGGATAAGCAAGGGGAACGGGTACACAAAAAGGCCCTCCTTCCAGTGTACCAACTGCTGTTTGATTGGTAAACAAGGTTTTGCTCCCTCGTGCCGAAAGAAGGTCCATTACATCTCGAGCAGACCTTGTTCTCATGGAAGCACTGGATGGATACACAACTATCAACCCGCCTGGCATCATGATAGAACACATGCAGAAGGTGGCAGAGTTCAAGGATGGTAATCATGGGTTGCCTTACGGGTTCCTTATCACTAAGGTTTTTGAGTTCTTCAAAGTACCTTTGGGAAAAGCTAAAGTGGGTACTTGTAAGCAATCCTTCTCCAAGACCACCCTCTAGGAATGTGAGTGCATTGATAAGGTTGGAGGAGTTGCAGCATTTCTACTATCTCCCAGTTGATCAACGCCCAAAACAGTGCCACTGATGGGATAAGGAAGCTGAAGGCAAGGAATGTCATTCTTGAGGGTCACTAAGTCAGCTTCAGGAGGCACCTGGTTCTCGCAGCTCTCACAGCACAGAGGTTTCCCGTCTAACCAAAAAAAATGTCGACCTCAGGAAACAAGTTGAGGACCTGAAGGAGAAACTGCTCAATGAGCAGATGTCTGCTAATGCTCGAATGGATATCTTTCTTAAAAACCTTGCCTCTTAATCTAAGCCTTCCCCTTCCAGTGCTCCCTAAAAAGTGTTCCCTTTCCAGTGTCAAATCTTAGTGTATGTCCTTTGCTTTAGTTCTGATGATGTTTATGACTGGTACTTCTGTTTTTGCTGTTTTTATTTTGTGGATGTGTTGGTAACAGTGGAACTGCTCCCCACTTAATATCCAAATATTAATGAAAGCTTCCTCCTTTTGTTGTATATGCCTTGCTAATTTGCTCTGTTTTTAGTCATGATTGTGTGGACACATGTGGCATGAGTTAACCAAGTTAGATTTCTTTTTGCTTATTGATTGCTACTGACTTTTTTATGATGCCAAAAGGGGAGAAAATAATTGAGGGGGAACAAGCTGGGGAACATATCCAGGGGGAATACAGGTTATGTGTATGTCATTCTGGTTCTTAGGGGGAACTTCAATTATAAGTTTGTCATCATCAAAAATGGGAAAATTGATAGGTTATATGTACTTTGTAATGTTTTGATGATCTAACAAACTTAATGACAAGAACCAGATAAGGAACCTGATACACACCCTCAAGTACGTGGGAATAACAAACCTCAAGCTGGAGATGTAAATCAACTCATCACACGACAAAGATACAACAAGGGGAACAAATGGACTTCAGTTCCCCTGGTGACCATACCCAGTCAACTCTCCAACAGCTGTAAAATTGTTATCTGCACACACAAGAGTGCAAAACAGTGCAACAGTCAACTTCATTGGGAATGCTCATATACCAAACACGCTTGCATCTTTCAATTGATGTCACCAATGTTATATTAACATCAAACCAAAAGCAAAACATCACTTGAACTCTCAGAAGAATCCATCAAGCCCTCTCTTAAGTGACCAATCAATCTAGCAAGCGATTCGTAAGAGCATCAAGAACAAAGAACAATATAACAACAGACCAGTTTCCTGTATTAAGTTATTACATGTCCTTAGTTGTGTTGCATCTTTGTTAAAGTTCTTTACTTGTAATTCCTACTTAGCTTAGTTATAAGCATTGTGTAGGAAACCTTTGTAAATCATAAACTTTTGTGTTTGTGTCTTGGCTATAGTTAGTCGAGTTATAAGTCTTTGTAATAGAGTTATTACAAAGTGGCTTGTAACAGAGTTGTTACAAGTTAGTGAAGGATTAAAAGGATAATTCCTAGGTTACAATAGGTTGTAATCTAAAGTTGGCTCAGTAGTGAAGTTGAAATCCTACAAGGGTAGGTCGTTGTTTTTAATCCCGTGAGCTGAGAGTTTTTCACGTAAAACTTCCTTGTGTCATTTACCTACTGCAGTGTGCATGTGTTATGTGAAAACTAATAGAGAACCTGATTCATTATATAGTTTGGTGGACCCTTAGTTTCTATCACAGACTATCTCAAATTGTTACAATTCCTGCCAATTCATCTTCACTCTTTTAACACCAAAAAACACAAATACTTCAGATTTGCCCAAAATTCCTCCTTAGCATCATCGCCCTTTGGATGTCTACTCTCATCACAGTATCCAATCCTTAATTTGGCCATATAATCCCTAATTTGCTATTTAGGGATATTCTTATAATCTCCATACACCAGTGCATACTCCAATATCCATGGCAAGAGATGGTGGGCCAAAACGTTTGGATACTTCAATTGGCTTTTGAAGTTTGCTTTTCAAGATTCTTTGTGTTGAGAGAACTTGTGGGATAGAAACAGGCTAGGATTAGAAAAGATGCTTGAAAACTTAATTAAAGAGAAGAGTATATTTAAAAAGGGGTAAATTAGTCATATTACATTTTTTAGGAATTAATAATAAATAGGTTTAGAGAATTGTTACAAAAAAAATTAAAATAAGGGAGGTATGCGTAATATCGTAAACCACAAGGGAAGTGGTTGTAACGAGGCCAAACTTGAGGGGAAGTCTC